ACCTTCTTGTTCTTCGAGCCCATCTAATGGCTCAGCCATCTCCACAAGTTCCCAGCCTCCATTTCGTTCCACCAAGGTCGACCGGCAAACACCTTCACCTTGATCACGAAAGCCAGGAATGAACTGTAGACTCTGAAACTTTGTGCTGAGGTGCAGTCCGACCCAGAAGTTATCCTTCCTCTTCCAGCCATAGCCACTGTTGGCCATGCTTTCCAACTCACCTCCAAGCTTGACTCCCAGCGTGCGAATCACCATGGGCTCTGTGATGACTCGGATCGAAGCATCCACCACCAAGCTCTGATTCTGAAACGCTAACGGGACCTCCAAGCTTCCATTCTTGAGGCACTGCTTTCGTCCATCAATGGACCATCCACTCCTCATCAAGCGACCGAAAGAAAGAATCGGCTGGCTGACCATGTCACTAAACGTGACCTTCTCTTTCAGGACCACGCACTGGCCCTCGGACGTCACCATCATAATGTCCACGTCCTTGTTGCCATAGCTTTTGATCTTCTTGCCTTGGGCATCCTGTAAATGGGGTGCCTCCTGCAGTGTCCTATCGTTCACTATCTGCTCAAGGAACCTTCCTAGGAAGATCGACGCATCAGCACCTGAGTCGACAATCATTTTGAACGATTGCCTTTCTCCACCTTCTTCGTAGAGCTCCAAGTTCACCTCCTCATTATCGGTCTCGACTACCGTGTTCACCATGTAGCCGTCATACTCATTCTCATCATCGGAGGCGATGTTAAAAAATTCAACTTGGCTCACCATTCGAATTGCACCAGCATCATTCCCTTCTTTCAAATCGAAAATCACTGGTTGTGAAACTCGTCGAATGTTCTTAGCATTTGAATTCATCTCAACACCTCCATCACTTGTCAAGCTTGTTGTCAAAGTAGTCGAAGGTGAAATCGTGTGTGAACCTACAACGCTTTAGGTGGCTGTCGACTCCACCTGTCTCACACGCCAGCAATCTTTAGCCATGTGGCCCGGCTTGCCGCAGATCCAACACACCTCACTAGGATTCTTTCCCTTACCACCTTTTCCTTCCTTGCCACCACCCTTGCCTTTCCCATCTTTGCCACTAGATTTGCCGCCTTTTCCTTTACTCTTAGACTTGTCCTCTTTACCCTTGCCCTTCTGCTCCTTCGACTTGCTCTTGCCCTTCTTTCCATCACCTTTGATCCTGTCGACCTCCATTGGCATCGCACCATTGGGATCATTCATTGGACTCACTCCAGAAAAGGTCAAAGCACCTGACTCATTTCATTTGGTCGTAGCAGTATCAAAAGCGATAATTGCTTCCCTAATCTTTCCGTAGGAATTGCCTTCGTTCAGGGTCAAGTTTAAATGAGTTTTCATCTAGCCGGACACAGCTCTAAGCAAGACAGCGAATTTCATGTCCTAGAACAGCTTTCCACCAAGGCGCTCATACTGCAAGTAATATTCCTCCAACTTCAGGATTTGAGGCAGTAAAGAACTTTTCATGTTAAAACTCGGATAGGACATTATGCCCTGCAGCAAGTTCATTGTTCTGTTTCTAGCTTAAGGTTGACAATTCATCAATAGCTGCCTAAAGGCTTCCATGCCGTTGAACTTCTCCACATTCTTTATCACCCCAATCAACCTTCCTAGCACCAAATTTCCCAACAAATTATAGAGAAATCGACTCCGCTACTGTTCACCTTCATCTAAGAGCTCCCAATCCACCTCTATTCCAAGGTTAGCCTCAAGCTTCTCCAGCTCTTCCTAAAAGGCATTGTCCACCACCACCAGGTACTACTTAATCGTCCAGTACCAGTCTCTCCATTGCAAGACCTCCTACTCCCGATCGATGGGGTTGAAGGTATCGGATCTCGGTATCAGCTTGGCCAAATCCTTTTTCAACACTCCATACTCTTCACCTTGTCCTCCTGCTTGTCCACTCGACGCCGCCGCCTACGCTGCTTAACCAGCTGCAGTCGCAGCAGCTATGACAGCTTGTGTAAGGCCGCTCATCTCCGACTAGTCCATCGTGTTTTAGTGCTCTCCAGCCAGTAGAACCTCCTGTAGTCCAAGGGCGTCGAAGGTAAGGATTTCCTTCAAGTACTCTCAGGCAAGGATTGCGAGAACGTGCTACACCAGTTTATTGGGTGGCTCGGCGGGTGGCGCGCTCAAACAAAGGCCTTTAAATTGGAGCTCCAATCAGCACCAAACCTTAAATACTAACCTTTTCAGCTCCGCTACCATACGAGCTTTTTTCGAACCTCAAAGGCCTATATGTCGGTTGTTTATATAGGTCGTTTCAAGGTACGGAATCAAGTAGCTTTGTTTACGCAATTATTAATATTTTTTTAATTTAATATATATATGTTATATTAATAATTATTAATAAATTTATATAATTATGAAATCTAATAAAATATATTTAATTTATATATATAAAATAATAATAATAATAATAATAATATAAAAGTATTGAGAATGAACATCAATAAATTTATCAAATAATTGCATTTCCATAATACCCCCGGATCATCCTGCACAACATCCATCGGAAATCCATACCGCAACCTGTCGTTGTATCCCCAGAAAGCATGTGTTCATTGCCCTCGGGTTATATGTGTCCTGCAACATGTCGATCTTCCTGCGCAGCCTTCCATAATATCATGTTGAAATGAAGCCTTTCTGTGTCGGTTGGCGAGTGCAATAACTTTCAACAGCTGAGACAGCTGGGACTTTTTGGTACAAACCGACCTAAAAAGCATTAGCACTTCTTCAGCTGAAAGCTTAAGCTTTCGCGCTTTCGCACGCGTCTAAACAACGAACCTTTCGTGCGTTCAACGACTTTGAGGCCAAAACCAGGGTGGGACTGGAATTGAAAGAAGCAGCGACCATGAATGAGGTGTGTTTGAATCAAGCTCTGCAAGGCAGTGAGGTTGTTGCATTAAGGCTACATTTGGGCTGACGGCATCGTGATTCCTCCGACTCCAAAAGCAAGTGCATTGAAGCCCCGCACTCTGAAACAAGTACTTGACCTTTTTGGACCTAGCCTCCCCTCACAAATGGGCAGGGTCAGTCTAGTAGCTACGAAAGCTCATTCTACCATCGCTCTTCTCCATGAGCCCAGGTTGAGCGGCTTTGTCATTTCCCCACAGGGATCGAAGATATCTCACAGATCTCCGGTTGTGCAAACAAAACTAGTTCTGGAAAATTGTGTAGACCAAGAACGGTCTCTTGAAATGAGAAAGAGGCTGTGCGCGAAACAAGTCTAAATGGTCCAATTCTCCTTCGTGCTCTTTTCAGCCTACTAAGGTCATTCCAAGGACACACAATCACCCCAACATTGTGAGGCTTGCATAAGCATATCAGAGTCAGCAGAAATGTCTGCACCTGGTTTGAGCTCTCCATGGAAGAAGTCAATTCAGCGTTCAAATGCATCAAACCGGACTCCAGAGTCGCGGGAGAGTGCCAATGGGAGCCGAATCAGTGAGTTCAATTGACTCTGTTGACTCGTGCTCACACGATCTTCGGATTCACCTTGTCCAACATGGATTAGATCCAGCACATGACAGCGTGCTGGCCTGAGGTCTGGATCCGTCAAATAGGGATTGTTTGCCAGCCTCAGTCCAACTTACCTCAAAAATTTGATGATGAATTCCATTCTGAATTCCACCAAGAGCCTCGATTCCACCTAAAGTGAATTATGGATGCGAGTCCCTCCTCGCTATGCTGGTGCCGGCTGGTGTGCAACACGAAGTTCGAATCCCACACCCTCAGCACCTTGTAACTCGAGGAGCCCAGCAAACTCATGCAGTGCTACTTCTCGACATCAGAAAGAACGTCAATGAGGCCCTGTGGCTTCTTCACACAACCGTGGTGGCCACTTGAAAAGCGCTGAAATCAGTTTTAGCCGGAAGCTCCTGCAGCTACTTGGAGTTTCAGTTCAACATCAGTGCTCACCAGCTCTGGATGACGTTGTGAAGCCCAAAGAACACTCCAGCTCACTTGCTTGTCGTGATATGCCTTCTGTAGACCTCATTTTTGTAGGTTGAAGCAAAACTGCTTGGACGTGGAAAATTAAACATGTACTGGCACACTCTGCGGACATCCCTCTATCTGGCCTGCATGGACAACTTTGGATTTATGGCATGAACATATGCGAAAAGGCCAGCTAAAAGGACCCGACCTATCCCGCACTTGTTTGCCTCTCTTTGTGAGAAAGCAGGGCTTCGCACCCTCAATTCAAAACTTACCAAAATAAAGCACTTGGATGTGGATCTCTTGGTCCTCTGGGTTATTTGATGTTACTTGAAACCATGTCATCCTTCTTCTGATGCGGAAGCTGTACGCTCTTCGAGCGCAACAGTCGAACCCACATCAACTGACATCAACTCTTTGCTCACTGAATCCCTGCCACTATGCGTCCATATCCTCAGCAAGCACTTCAGGGCTTGGAATCTAATTCTTCGTCCGACTTGCAAGCTTGCGCTTGAACATGCTTTAACGATGATGTGATTTGGAACATCTCCAGGTCTTGTCTTGCAAATCACTTTTTAGTGGCAAGCTGCTGCACCGCTGCAGTCGATTATGACTTTGCTGAAGAATCTGAAGAGCTTGGGTCCTTGCATCTTCAAAAAGTGTGTGAATTGTCACGAATTGTCTGCATGGTTTGTACATGTTTGCACTGCTGCGTGTGTGATCCGACCAAACAGGTCCCGCTCACCGCAACCTCCCCGCTGGGTGGCCGCTCACCGCAACAGCGCAGCCCCCCAAACCCCAAACACCAAAAAGGTTACATAGATGTACGTCCACTGCCTGACCCTGGCCGTAGGCGTTTGTTTCACCACAACCCCAACGCATCGCCACTAACGTTCTTTTTTACGGTCTGACTCTCTGACCCAAACCTAGATGGTAGTAGCTTCTTGCTACTAGTAGTAATAGCCTCCACCCTAGTAGCGATGGCCTCCACCTAGTAGCTTCTTGCTACTAGTACGTGCTCTCGGGATCTCTCCTGTCTATTCCCTCAAGAACTTGTAAGGCATCTCGAACTGCACCGTATCCATGCCGACTGCACGCCAGGCGGACAAGCACCGATGGCTCCTGAAACTGGATGCATGATCAGGAAGGCTGAGTGGGGGGTAGCTAGGCTCCAAGAAGGCTGCTCTCTCTCTCTCTCTAAATAATCATAGCCAACGTGGATGGCATGGTCCCGAAAGGATGACCATGAAATCCGAATACCAAACAGATGGTGTTCCCACTTGCATGATGATTTTAGGGAATTTTGAGCACCTAAGAGAAGCGAAAGCCAAAGAAATGGACCCAGAACCGATGCTGCTGGGAACGCCTTCCAAGACCCGCTAGCGCAATTTGGGCGCAACCGGTTTTTTCGAGATGTTGAGGGAGCCTTTTAGTGTTACATCACATGATGTTACATCGCAAGTGCACTTCATCGCTCCTTCTGCATGGCACGTGCTAATGCAATACGACACGGATGCCTTGCTGTGCTCATTGCGCAACTCACAACTGCCGCACCATATACGTCGGAGCCTTGGCAACGCGCAAGGAGTAAAAACGATGGCCTCCAACCTACTATAGCAATGGCCTCCAACCTACTATAGCGATGGCCGCCAACCTTAGAGCAATCTCCTCCAACCTGCTAGTGATGGCCTCCAACTTAAGAGCGATCCCTTTGTAATTACAAACCGTCATACAACAATCAATGACGGTTCCTTCTTTTCATTCCTGCCACATCTCACTGCACTGCATTGGGATCGAGCTGCTCAAGGCGGGAAGATGCTCCTCCAATGTCCAAAAGACTGTTCAAGACTATGTAAACTACCAGGTCTCGCTTTATATGACAGCAATACTAGTAGCATCTCATACTGCAATGCAATAAGGTGAAACTGGGTTCTGGGTATGGCTGAGTGAACCTGACTGATATGCTGAGATGAATGTGACTAACGGAGCTACTCCAGATCACTATATTGACCTCAGTAGGCACAATGAGCAAACATGGTTGGACATCTCCGTGAGGTCACGGTCAGGGCTAAAAAAGGTGGGTAGACCTATCGGCCACTTGGCTTCGACTTGGCACCTGTCCAATAGTTGCCAATCTCTTCCAGGGCTCCTCTATTCTTGGATCAAGCTGGAAGTGTAGGGCCTTCTGGGGTTTCTTACCCACACCTATGAACGAATCAACAAGGCAATCTTTCCAAGACCTTCAGAAGCGACCAAACCGCCCTCTCCTCTAGGACTCGGCACAAGTTGGGCACTGAGTCGACACAGTGCTGAAGAACATGTTGGATCACCTTGCGTCACGGAAAACTTATCTGGTGAAGTGTTGACATTTTCCTGAGACCAGTCCACACGGTCTGCGTGTGGAGCGCAACTGCATAAGGCAGCTCCAAGTACTACCATGTAGAAACACGCATCCTAGGAATCCTGAATCGAAGCACTCATATCTGCCACTCTCATTGCAGCCGACGTCACATAATTTCCATAGGCATGGCAGGAAATCGACTGCGCATCTCTGGTCAAAGCCTCCCTCGGAGCTTCAAGAACGCTTTTCAACACTGTTGCCAGCAGAAATGCCACTGTTGTCAGGTTTGATGTACAATCTGTCCCCTACAACTCAGGTTTGATCTACAATCTTTACCCTCACAACGGTATGTTTTTGCTACTTGGATGTCCCACGAACGGTCAATCCGATATTGGCTAAAATTAAAAAGCAGTGCTGCGGTGGGTGTCCCGGAGACCCTGTGTTTCTTGCTTTGTGCTGTCGTTTTCACTGTGCACAGCCCAAGGTGCAAGATATGCCTGGTCTGTTTTGCTGGACATCTCTCGATCAGGCGCTGCACAATCCTGCAAGCGTACCTTGAAGGAAGGGGAAAAAACAAAACAGGCAGGCAGGTGCAAGCTAGCAGCAGTCAGCAGTCTTCTGGCGCAAAGTAGTAACCTCTAACTTGCTCAAACTGGATATCTAGAAACAAGTGCATCGCTATTAGTCCAAGTTCTTGGACAACTCTATGCTTCCAAGGCTCTTGTGCCTTGCTGCTTGCGACACTAGCTGCTGACGCACCAGGACATCCACAATGAACTGTACATGATTGGGATGCATGACCTCATATAAACAGACCACATTCCAATGTAATTAATCTGATGTTGGGATCAACCTTTTTTTAGAACAGCCCCTCATTCCAACCTTCACCCTTCCGTGGCCCAAAAAACCTACATGTGCCTTTTTTCCCTGCACAATGACGATCCAGAACTACACAGAGTTGTGCCATTCCTCTCGTCTTCCAAGGAACGAGAATGCATTTCTGCAACACATGATTGGCGTGGGGCCCACACGCAGCGTCCCAAACCTCGGTCGGGAACGAACGTACAAGCGGAAGAAAAAGCCAGCGAGCGTCGGTCTCCTTGTTGCGGGGCGTTCGGCCAATCGAAGAAAATGGTGGTAGGAAGGTAGCACCGTGTCAACCCAAAGGTTCTAAAAAGAACATGGCCGCGGCAGACTGCAACACATTGACATCAAACGCACACGAGTCCTTACGCAAGCATAATGGACATTGACCTTATGAGTGTCGTGTCGGTCAAAAAACAACAGGGTGTGTATATATATAATCATTAGTGGCGTAAAATAGGGCCGGTTGCAGATGCTGATAGCTGATGGCTTTGTCAGGCTTTGTGAATTGACGAGGAGAGTGCTTTGTGACTTGACATAGATGTCATATGTCGTTTCAGGTTGGGTGACAGGTGCTGTTCACTCAAGTAAGCTGTATCGGGTGTTCGCACGCAAGGTTTCGCTGCGAAGAGCTGACTGCAGAGAGCCTGCCTTGGCATTGGCTTGTGGTGTTTGGAGTTTAGGGAACCTCCCCACACGAACGGGTTGAAGTCTATGTTCCTTCTTCCAGGGGGTCAAACGGTGGGGCTCTCCCAATTCTACATGCATTTAATTGCAATGACTTTAAGATATGCACCGAGCAAGCACACTCGAGTTCCTCAGGTTTGCCTTTGGAAAGCTAAAAGCCTGGCTTTGGGCAGCATCTTGCCTAGATCGCAATCTTCCAAGCTGGTGGCATGATCTAATATTTCCTCCAGATTGTGGATCATTGTGGCTTTGCTATGTCTGCTTGCTAGGGAGTTCTATGGTATGTCTTTAGAGTTGCATGTATGTATGTTGCCACAAAGCAACCGGTTCTGATGGCTGCGCTGCTGCGCTGGACTGGTTGCGGCTGATAGGCCAATTCGCAGGACTGGGTTGCGAATGAAGAGCGCTCTTCCATTAATCGCGTGTTGATGTGTCAGACGGATGCAGCTCTTTTCTCAGAACTGCCACGTCAGAAGACAGAGCCTGACACCAGCATGTCAGAGAATCCACGCAATCTGTCTGGTGTGGCACGGAAATGCAAGGAACACAAGTCGCTTGAATTGCTTGATTGTATAAATGTTGCTTGCACTCATCCAGGTCAAGGCTTAGTTTGTTTGGAGGATCCAGTTGAAAGAAAGAAAACATCAATCCACCATCTGCATGCCAGTCGTGGCCTCCATCCATTCCACGGGGTGAGATGTTGCCTTTAATTGACATGTGAAAAAACGCTTTTCGCAACTAACGTTGTGCAGCCAAGAGGCATGATCCTGAAGTTCTGCAGCTATTCTCCAGCGACTCTCTTCATCTGCCATCTCAATTGCAAGTTGGACTTCCCGACAGCCTGCAGCATCCTGGGAATACTCCCAAACTCGGCCAAAGACAGAGATGCCGACAGGTGTATAGTCCCCTCTTCGAGTTGTTGCTTCTGCCTGGGCCTTTGTGGAAGCGCTTTCATAGAAGACCTTGGCACTCACCTGTTTGGGACGCAGGTCGTCTGGCAAGAAACTGGACCATGGAGCCGAATCCTGCTCTAGGCGGCCGAGCAGCACCTTCACTGGGAAGGGCTGACATGCATGCATTCTGCAGGCTGACAGGATGGCCTGAATCGGAAATGGCTGCCAAAATGCCAGGTGATTCGAAAGAGATGCCAGCCGTTTTTTGGAATTTCATGAAGCTACAAGCGTGCTGCATGCATTGAACACGTTCGTTGGAAAATCCAATCATTTGCACGATCCTGCATGAATTGTGAGCAAACTACCAGGTGACTACCACAAATCCGACACGGACACTTTTTCCAGTGCTGAACGCAGCCAGAAAAGCATGGTTTTGCCAACGGCCTCAGTGGCACCAATGCCCACGTGAATACTGTATAGTTAATAATAGAAAACACTACGCAAATGACAAAATAACACCGTGACATGAAAACTGATCATACGGACCCTCATATGATAGCATTATATGATATGGCATTATATAGATTATATCGCTCACACCTTGTCTCACTTCGCTCTTGGTGCAGTATGTTTGGTGCTTTGGAGCCGGACAAAGAGCCCTGGGGCCTCTCCTGCGCACACGCTGGAGCACGCTGGAGCACGCTGGAGCTGGCTTTGGCCACAGCTTGACCATGTTTTACCGACCTCAAAAGATGTCCGCGCTGCAAGGTGATGAGCCCCGGGTCTTAGGCCGTCTTCGGTGGAAGAAGCCGAGAAGCCAAACACTACCGCGGTGTGCCGTGAACATGTTCACATTTCGCTTGGGCAGGTGGAGTGGGCCAGGAGGAACAGGATGGCATGCGAACAAAATGGTCAACCTAGCTAGTAGATTGGGCCTGCACCTTTGGTCAGCCCAGAGCAGATCAAATTCTGTTGAGAACCCAACAATCCTCGAAAGAGCTGGGATGTTCCGCCAATGAGGTGGACAGCAGCCTCAACGATGTGCTGGCACAAGTCACCAGTACACTCCATCATCACAATGTGGAGCCTCTATGTTCAGGCGTGCCAGGAGAACCTGTGAGGGAACAATCCCTAGGATGATCACCTGATCACCTAGGACGTCATGGCAGCGGACAAGCACATGGACTTCATGCAATTTCACATGACAACCTCATGGATGGATGTCCACCAGCTACCACGGTGCCTCTTTTGCGCTCCAGATCTTTACTGTGATACAAGAAAACCCACGACTCAGGAAAGAGATGGAAAGAGCTTCTCGAAAGAGATGAAGTGAAACTAAACAGTTTGGAGGCAAAGGTCCATGACGTGCAGAGTCAGCCTTTTTCATCCTTTTTCCAAATTTGGCCTGGCAGCAACACTGCGAAGGGGAGCTGGAGGAATGAAGCATAAGGAGTCAGTTTAGCACATAAACTTTATGATCTGACACCGATGGAACAATTTGAGCAGCTTTAAGATTTGCCTTTAGATTTCAATGCAAATACCACAATCGGCGAGGCCGAATGCGGTCCTCGAGCTGGGAGCACCTCTCGACCTGACAGAGTACCTGACAGAGTACCGACAGGGCGTCCTTGGAGAACTCCAAGATCGGTCGAAAAAGGAATCGGATGGAATCGGTATGAATCGGTCAATCGAGTCAATCCAGATTTTGGCAAGTGCTAGCAACGATCGACCACCACTACAACTCAGGGCTCAATGCGCAGGATGGGGATAGGGAGATGTAGCCCCTTGATTGACAAATCCGCAGACAGGTTTTACAATCCAAATGGGCGCTCGAGTGTTCGTGTGTGCTCCACCAGACTTTGCAGGTCCCAGAAGACGCCTCCAAAGCCGAAAAGATGTTTGGCGCTTCGACTTCTTCGCAACGTGCAACGCGGACGTCTTTGGAAGAATACGGAGGCAATACGGAGGCCTGGACACCGAAACGAAAAAGGAGATCGAGGTGTCCAGGGAGGGAGCGACCTGCCACGGTGAAAGCGCAATGACCTGGGGCAGTGTGCCGAAGCGAAGTTGGTGGCCTGGACATGGGGCCTCCAACGCTGTGATCACAGTGTAGTGCTTGAAGGCTCGGTTTGGGTGATTGAATGCAGAAACCACACGAAGCGATGGGCGCAGACCGTCTTCGGATCCTTTTGCCACAAGTTCTTTATGGATGGCACTCGCAAATCAAGACATGTACCGACTTGAAGCTGAAGCTGCTTTTAGCTTAAACAGGAGCGCTGCTTCGCAAGGACTTGTCTAAACTCCAGCTACTACTAGTCATGACCCTCTTCAAGCCGATGAAGTACTCCGTGAAAGCCCCTGATGAATTTCTGAATGTACAAGAGTGAATTGAAAACTCTTCATTGTTAGACTTTGCAGCTGGCTGCTCCTCTCGCCTGATTCTCCAAAAGGTTCGCCGCCATCGGGTAAGCCTGAAACAAGCTCGGCTGACTTGACGCGCTTGGACTCCACACACAGGAATCTTCATGCAATGGAAGTCCTCACATGTGATGTGGCACCTTCTAATTTCAACATTTTTGACCGAACCCCTTCACACCCGGCGCGGGGTATAGACCTGGTCTTTCGTCCGAATCAAACCCCAGGCCAAAGTCTATGGCAGACTGGCGGTCTGCATGGTTGGAGCGTAGACAAAGCTGAAAGGTTTACTCAACTCTTGTGTTTCGGACCATAAAGACCGGACTTTTGCCGCACCCTTAGCTTCAGGCGTTAGACCAAAGTGGACTCCCTAAGCCCGCGGTTCAGGGTGGACTCTGGAAAGGCATCGGCACCCAACTGGACCGTCTCTGGCAGCACCACGTCGCGTAAGGAGCTGCAACCGTGGAAGGCTTTCCTTCCAAGCCGCAAGCTGTGAACAGATGTGGGGATCCTCACAGTTTTCAAAGCGTTGCAGCGGTTGAAGGCGAAATCTCCAATGTGAGTCAGGGACTTGGGGAGAGTCACCTCTGTCAACAAGCTACAAAGTTGGAACGCGGCGCCTCCAATGTGAGTCAAAGAGTCTGGAAATCTCAAGTCTGTCAAAGAGTTGCAGCGGCTGAAGGAATAATCCCCAATGTGAGTCAAAGAGCTTGGAAATGTCAAGTCTCTCAAGGAGCTGCAGTTCTCAAAGGCGCCCGTTCCGATTCGCGTCAGTGTATCGGGAAGGTTCACTTTCACCAGTGCCCGACAAGCTTTAAAGGCTCCAGTTTCAATCCGAGTCAAAGACCTGGGGATGGTCACTTCCGTCAAACAGCAGCCGGCAAAGGCACCATCTCCAAGGCGGGTGACCGAACAGGGGATGGTGACGTTCGACAGCGCCAGGCAGTCTTGAAAGGCTCCGACTCCAAGATCAGTCACTGAATGCGGGATGTTCAGCTCGGCCAGCGAGCTGCAGTCTGCAAAAGCACGAAGTCCAATGGAAACCACGGTATCGGGAATCTCCACCTTCACCAATGCCTTGCAAAGGAAGAAGGTCAAATCCTCAATCTGAGCCACACCATCGGGGATCGTCACAGAAGCCAAGGAGCAGCAGCCAGTGAAGGCTCTTTGTCCGATGGAGGTCACTGTACTTGGAATTTCCACCTTCATCAGTTTTCCACAGCCTTGAAAGGCTTCGTTGGGAATCCGTGCCACCGAGCTCGGGATCGTCACAAAGACCAAGTCTTCCCTCGGAAAACCCGACTCGTCCCGGCCCATGGCGCACTTCACCGGTTTTGGTGCTTGGAAGACCACCTGCACCTGCCAATCCGAGTGAAGGCGGGTTTGGAGAGCTGCAACCACACCCCTTGGAACCCACGTTCATGGACGTTCTTAACATGTGCTGAAGTGGAATCGAAGTGGTCAACACACTTTTGCGTCCGTACGTTTTTACAAAAAACTGGCAACAGCTTACCATCCGACCGCTTCTTCAAAAGCACAAAATTACCAAATCAATGTTGTAGCATTCGGTAGCTCGCAATGGTTTGCAATCTTGGACTCTTCCTCACCTCTGCACCAGTAGAGATGCCTGCCTCAACGAGAGTTTTGGGAGTCTTCTGATCATCCACCAACAGTTCTTCTTGGAAGAAGAGCTCCACAGAGCTTAACTTTCGTGTGACCTCATCCCAACCCCGCAACTCCTTCAGGAGCTCCTTGAACTGCTGGAGGGTGGTCTCCTTAGATCTCTCTCTCTCTCTCTCTCTCTCCGAACAAGAATCACGGCTGCTGTCTTGTTTCACCAAGAGAACGACAAACACGACCTGCCTATGGCATATGCCCAGACCCCGACAAGCTCTTGAGTCGCTGGCATTCTTGATCCTCCCTCAGTGGGAGGCCCTTTTTCAGGCCATCCTCTGTGAGCTGTTGCTGGGTGCCCTAGTGTTGAGGAGCGCGAAACCTGGTGCGAATGAGGTGGTTTCGACATGTTTCTTGTAACATTGTATCTCATCGGTGGAATCCGTACATCAAAGACTCCGAATGGCTCTGCCAAATGGGCGGGAGCAGCGTGGCTCGGCAAGTGCTCGGATTTGCGTTGAGTGTGGTTGTGTCGGTGTGTCCAGGCACAACCTGTCGCACAAGTGACGAGCTGGGATGCTCAACTGGGCGGTTACTTCTGATGCGCCCACAGTGGACATCCCAATGAGAAACCGAACGCGACAAATTGAGCAAACTGGAAAAATACATGAAACACCTCAAAGGCACCGACTGCCGAAGACGAGAGACAAAAATGAGAAAAGCAAGTCTAGTCAAGGCTTTGGCATCTGGGATCACTTCCATTTCCTCCACCGTGCCGCTAAGGTGTCGCACTTCAATCTTCATGGCCGAACCGCTTCCGTTTCTTCACGCGGCCGCGGCCGAACCGCTTGAAGATCACCAGGGAGCGAGCGAGCCGCACCAAGCGGCGATCAAACACTGACCGGGGAGCTGAAGCCGAAATAGAGCTGTGCCGGGCCCCGATCTTCAGGTCCCTGTTCAGCTCTTTGAGACCTTTCAAATGGCCCTGGCACAAAGGAGGTCGACAAAAGGCCCTGATTGCTCTGCACAGTGGTGTGGTAAAAATAGAAGTAGACCAGATGTCCGCCAATTCTTCCACGTATTAACGTATTATGCCAAAGAAGACAATACACAAATGTCAAATGTTTCGCAACTCCACATCCATCTCCACGTGGAAGCTGTCTTAGCTACCGCTGTCTACACGACACCCGATCCGGCGACGCTACGGCCTTGAGGCCTTGAGGCCGGTGGACGTGTGGGGGGACGTGTGGGACGTCATCAGCATCCAGGGGACGACCTGGCCATGAGATGCCATGAGGGTGTCGTGCACAGGTTGAAACGCTTTGAACGTCACTAAGTCTACTATCAGAATGGCATATCTGGAATCGATCTGTTCTCTCGTGCTTGTTTCTTTTGGCGGTGCTCGGTTTCATGCTTCCAACACCGAAAGTGCCCGTATATGAACGAACAGTTCTATGCAAAGATCCACTGAAGTACATTGGACAGGAAAGAAAGCTAACTCGTTTGCAACGTGTTTCACCGGCAAAAGCAGTGATACCACCTCAAAGTTGTTTTCTCTCAGGTGGACATCCACCAAAGGCCCATTCTCAGAGTCAGGCATGCCTTTGGCACCCACCTGCACCGCTGCGAAGATTTCGTGGCAGGTGTCCTCCGGTCGGGCCTTGGCCCGGCCAGACCCTGCCGACTTCAGCACGAGTTGGGCCAGAAAATGGCGGCGTGCAGCCGGAAGAATTGGACCACTGCCCTTCGGGCCAGTTAAAGAGTGTATGTACATTAGGCTCGAAAGCCGCTTTAAAATTTCAGTCAGTCTGACAACTGAAGAGCCGCAAGCACTTTGCTTGCTCAGCTTCAGCCAGTTGTTCCTGGAACTCGCCCTTTCTTCACACCGAGAAAAGCGCAACCTACAGGCCATCCGCACTCAGTCTGTTGGCATGCAGCTCTCCAACAGATCCCTCTCTGCTTCGCGGAGCTTTCCCAAGGGCCAAAGTCCTCACACCGTGCCGAGTTGCCAGAAGATCGGTCCGTCTGAACATCGGTCTAGCACCTAGTCAGATCGGTTCTGAGCCAGGTCCTTTGGGAAAACAAATAGGAGAAACGATCAAATGTTGGAAGAACACACAGGAATATGGGTGGCAATTCCTCATCGCACAAGGGTCAAAATGAAGAAGACAGCTTGGTATCACCAAGGATCTCTGCACCTCGTACCAACGCCGACCCTGGGACCTTTCTGTTGCATCTCCAGACATGCGCAGCGGTTTTCGACCTGCTTCATTGACCCAAGCACACAACTCTTCGATCCACAGGCGAACAGGTTCGTGAGCAACTTGCACTTGCTCAGCACATCTTTCGAGTAGTTGCTGCTCAGATTCTGTGAGCTTTCCCAAGCGCGAGTATCCTGAGATGCTAATCTACAAGAGGATGTAAAAAGAAAACTGAAACACGGTGTCTTTGCAAATGTGGCTAGGGAACACGGAGCACGTTACAAAAAAGACCTGATAATCAAAAGGGTTCATG